GTTGAGAGTAATCATTGAAGCTGATCCTCTTACAACTACAGAAGTTGACAAAGAACTCAACGTCGACCATAGTGTGGTCATTTGGCATTTGAAGCAAATTGGAGAGGTCAAAAAGCTCAATAATGGACGCCTCATGAGCTGACCAAATATGAAAAAAATATTCCTTTTGAAGTGTTGTTTTCTCCTATTGTACGCAACAACGAACCATTTCTCAATCGGATTATGACATGCAACAAAAAGCAGATTTTATATGACAACTGGTGATGACCAGCTCAGTGGTTGGGCCGAGAAGAAGGTCCAAAGCTCATCCCAAAGCCAAACTGGCACGAAAAAAAGGTCACAGTCACTGTTTGGTGGTCTACTCCCGGTCTGATCCACTACAGCTTTCTGAATCCTGGTGAAACTATTACATCTAAGAAGTATGCTCAGCAAATTGATGAGAAGCACCAAAAACTGCAACAACTGCAGCTAGCATTGGTCAACAAAAAGGGCCCAATTCTTCTCCACGACAACACATGACCACAGGTTGTACAACCAACGCTTCAAAAGTTCAACAAAGGCCGGGCTCGGTGGCTCACACCTGTAACCCTAGCACTCTGGGAGGCCGAGGCGGGCGGATCATTTGAGCTCAGGAGTTCGAGACCAGACTGAGCAAGAGCAAGGACTCCATCTCTATTAAAAAGAGAAAGAAATTAGCTGGACAACTAAAAATATATATAAGAAAAATTAGCCAGGCATGGTGGTGCATACCTGTAGTCCCAGCTACTTGGGAGGCTGGGGCAGGAGGATCTCTTGAGAGCAGAAGTTTGAGGTTGCTGTGAGTTAGGCTTACACCACAGCACTCTAGCCCGGGACACAGAATGAGACTCTGTCTCAAAAAAAAAGTTCAACAAATTGGGGTTTGAAGTTTTGCCTTATCCACGATATTCACCTGACCTCTCTCCAACCAACTACCATTTCTTCAAGCATCTCAACAACTTTTTGCAGGGGAAACGCTTCCACAACCAGCAGGATGCAGAAAATGCTTTCCAAGAGTTCCTCGAATCACAAAGCACGGATTTTTATGCTACAGGAATAAACAAACTTATTTCTCTTTAGTCTGAAACCGCAATTACTTTTGCACCAACCTTAATAAATAGTTGTTACACTATATTGTTTAGGAAATAATGACAAAGAAAAAAAGTCTGTACATGTTCAGTACAGACACAACTATTCATTTGTTTTCCAAATATTTTCGATCCTCAGTTGGTTGAATCCGTGCATGCGGAACACGTGAATAGGAGGGCTGACTGTATAATAAAAGTAGTTGGGGGTCAAGATTATGACAACCCAAGTGTGAATAATTATAGCATACATTATAAGGTTTTAATGATTTAAAATCTAAGCAGACTAGTTTATACTTACTTGACATAAAAATTGCTGAAAATTTATGTCAACTATTTTATGAGTTTAATGAGTCATAAAATACCAATGTATCTGCTGTGGATAATAACTTTAGGGACAGTCTGCAATTGCTGTAAAGAAACAGGTCCGGGAGACTTGTTGACCTGGGTTTACTTGCTATTTCCATAAAACTTACGCTTTCAGATTGAATACTGTGTCCAATGCTTCATATTTTTATTTGATGGGAGAGAGGTAAGGGGAAGATAATATTACAGATCCTGGAAAATTTT